AGAGCAGAGTTGCATAGCTTAATAAATTGGTGTTAACTATCGTGACTTTAAGTTTACTGTACCGTGATTAATTCAATTTATTCCATTTTTGTTACTCTGTAGCTGTGTTTGTTTACATACAGCCTCCCTGACGTGCAACTTTGATGACAGTTCTCCGGCATTCCCAGGACAACATGAATGCCACGAAAGCTTTTGTTATTGTCTACAGATTAAAATTTTACATTCCGTTCTGTGAGAGTTTTCAGTAGCTATAACAACGAACACTACACCGGCATTTTGTACTCGAGTCACACACAGAACGGAGATAATTGCGGTGAAGAAACATGTTTTCAGTTCTTCTGAAGCCGTTGACAGCAATCTGTACATTATTGCCACTGGTCACCTCAATAAGAGTATCTACGAAGTATGGAGATATCGAAGGTGTCGTCGCTTCATATCCAAGAGTCTCGGGGCTCCGTTTTCAGTCTGTCAGCAAATTCCTAGGCATTCCTTTTGCTGCTCCACCGGTTGGTGAGCTTCGACTCAAACCACCTGTACCTCCAGTTGTTTGGAGACCGCACATCCTTCCAACGAAAAAGCATGGAAACATTTGCATGCAAAACAGACAGTACGATTATTGGTACAAAACGTTCGCTGAAAACTACTCTTACAGCGAGGATTGCTTGTACCTCGACGTCTACTCCCCAAATGTAAGCTCGAGTTTACCAGTCATGGTTTACATTTACGGTGGAAGCTTCACCAACGGTGCGGCTATCACATACCCGAGCGACATTTTGGCTCTGCACGGGGTGGTAGTTGTAGTGATTCAGTATCGTCTCGGTCCGTTTGGTTTCTTGACGACCGGCGACTCTTCGGCTCCTGGGAATTTTGCAATGCTGGATCAAGTCGAAGCACTGAAGTGGGTCCAGGACAACATTGAGACTTTTGGCGGAAATTCTACCAAAGTGACGATATTTGGAGAAAGCGCCGGCGCGGCGAGTGTGAGCCTTCATTTACTTTCACCTATTTCGAAGGGTCTCTTTCACCAAGCCATTGTCGAAAGTGGGGTGGATTTGAGTTCCTTCGCGACTCAGCCCGTTTCGTTTGGCCTTCACTTTGCCAAAGAACTTGCTCAAAAATTAAAGTGCACTACAAACAGCTACAAAAATATGGTCTCTTGCATCCGCTCGAAGAGTGCTGTGGAAATGCAAAACGCTGCCGAAATGTTAACGTTTAAGCTCACCGATTATCTTATGTGGGCGCCGGTAGTAGACAACCATTTCCTTCTCGCGGACCCACGAGAACTGCGTGAAAAAGGAGAGTTCAAGAAAGTCAAGTTAATGATCAGTTTCATGAGTCACGAGGGTGCATCGTATCTTGGACCTGTCGCCAAATGGTCTTTTGGACTACAGGAAAATGTGGAAGACGGAGTCAGTCCAGCCTTTTTCAAGGAATTCTTAAAGGCATTCGCTCGTGTTAGCGTTACCGAGTGAGTCACTTAATATTATCAGCATTTTTTAAAATTTGTGCTTCTGTTTGGTTTTGGCACTTACTAGGTCAAAGGCTAGCGAAGGGCCTGATGCATCCTTGCCTAAGCGCAACTACATGTCAAATTTGACACGTTCTTTTTGTATGTCAGAAGTTGATGTTCTGTCTGATAGATCAACGGCCCTGTATATGTTATGGAAGTCACACGGACCGTATATTATAAGAGATGCACTGCTCAAAAAGTAACACTGCTTTTCAGTGTTGTCAGCAGTGTGATATTATTACTGCGTATCCCTAGCAGGTCGCTAGTATGTTCCATAATTATGTAATTTTGCGTGCCATGGCACACGAAACGCTTTCAGTCACACAACCACAATGCACGTCAGTCACGCTTGTCACGCTACGTGTCATATTCATCCCTTATATCAATTGTTCGTTTATTGTCGCACGTTTAACGCTGCATTTCGTCCGGTACATCACAGCTGTCACAATATATGACAAACTACATGTCACTCCGCGTATTACGCTACATATCAGTCGTTTCAAGGCACTACGTGTCACGCTCTCTCAGCTCATATCACGCTTAATGAGACATGTAATATTCTGTATCTCTTAGATGTTTGATCACTTTATTACCTTTAGGAAGAAGAATGCTGACCTCATCGCAGACGCGCTGGAGTTCATGTACATCCCGTGGCCTGATAATAGTGACAAATACGCACTAAGAAGTCAACTTGTAGACTCAATTGGTGATAGTGCGTTCGTCGCACCGAGTCACGAAGTCGCCGATATTCACAGCCAGTATGCCGAGGTCTTCATGTACGAGTTTGCGCACCGCTCAAAGTATGGCAGCCATTATGCTGAATGGATGGGCGTGGCACATGGGGAGAACCTTCCTTTTGACTTCGGTATCCCGATGCTGCCGAATTTTCCTGAATATGATGAAGCCGATAGAAACATCAGTTTCTTTGTCATGGCACTGTATAGAAACTTCGCCAACTTCGGCAATCCAACGCCGCAACCAGTCAGCGGTGTTATGTGGGATAAGTACAACTCAAGCCGCAGGGCCTATCTCCGAGTGAACACCAAACCCAAGATGGCGGCTTCGTTCGCTCCTCGTCGAATGTCATTTTGGAATAATTATCATCCCAAACTGAAAAAGACGAATTTTGATTTGAAGAGAGCCGTAGTCGGTGGAGTAAGCTCTAATGTAGTTTTGGCAACATATCTCCAGCTTGGAGTTATTATCTGTGCAACAATAGTCTGAAGTAACAAACATGATCTTATCATACCACCAAAGATATATATATATATATATATATATATATATATAATAGAGATGATCTCACTGACTCTCCCGTAAACCTCTCCAGCCAAAGCTTTGATATTAAGGATGAGAAGGGGCTGGTCATTATTTTTCGCCTAGGAGATTGAAGGGGGGGGGGGGGGGTAGTTTGGAGGATTTTTAATTTTTCACGTTAAATTGTTCCCAATCCCCATAGGCTCTGTATTATGATCCACCCTTACTAGAAGTTAATTGGCGGTCAATTTTCATTAGCCCCCCCCTTTTTAATTACTTTGTTGGCAGCGACTGATCCCTCGTCTATTTCCCCCTGAAAACCATGTGACCCTCACAGAATCCTCCAACTGCCCTCGAAAATAAATGGCTAGTCCCTTATCACTTTGCAATTTACTTTCGTTTCATTTTTTGTTTAACCTTAATTTTAGGTTAAGTTAGACATGAAACGGAAATTGTTTATCTAAAGCACTAAATAATGAAATTTTCAGAGCGACAACTATTCATTTACTTTTTTTGCATGCAAACCTTCTTCACAATACAACTGTGGTAACACAACATCCCCATGTGGTGTAATGAAAAGAGTCACGTAGAAATTTGTCATGAATAGAATAGAGAAAAATTAGAAGGGTATTATCTAAGATGTAGAGCAGGCTATAAATTCGATTACTGCACACACGAATTCTATGAAAATTTTATTTTCAGAGGAGCCAAGTTTACCTCGATGAAAAATCTCACCGTCAAATATATAACTCTCACTAACCGTGTTTAGGGTCCATAGTGTAAATTGCACGCCAGTTTTTTTCCGCTCGGAAATATGGCCTATGTGCAAGGTATGGGGCCATAAATCCGAGAGCAAAAAACCAGGTTCCGTAACTTACAATACGGACCGAGAAATCGAGGTTAGCAATGTATTTCTTATATATCTGAGTTAAAATGGAGGGGAAATATGCCAATTAAAACAAGCTTTTGAATTTAGTGAGCCATACGGTGAAATACAGCCCGCTAAACTGACCAATCATGGCGCAAATACTAGCGAAGAGTGTTATCGAATGTAACTTTAACGCAAAAGTCAGAAGCAAGCTTCACTGAGGTAAGTTATACAGATATAATGTCCATGTATTATTTTCAAACATTTTCTCAAGTCTCATTTTAATGTCCTAAAAATGCCAAAGGAAAGAGCGGTGAGAAAAAATGTTGTGCTGCATACATTTTCGCCGGTACCACTAGCCACATATTCCTTCGTATCAAACTTGACTTGTTCAAGCTTTGGATAGTAATCATTCCAGAATGCCATTCGACGCGGGGCAAAGGACGCCGCCATCTTAGGTTTCGAGTCAGCTCGTAGATACGCCCTGTAGCTTGAGTTGTATCTCTTCCACATAACACCGCTGACTGGCTGTGGCGTTGGATCACCGAACTTAGCAAAGTTTGTGTACAGCGCCATAATGAACAAACTGACGTTTTTGTCATCTGCGTCGTAACGGGAAGAAAACGGTGGGATTAGAGGAATTCCAAAGTCGTAATGTCTATTGGCACCATGGACCACGCCCATCCACTTCGGGAGCTTAGTAACCGTTTTTGAACGATGCGCAAACTCGAGTATGTATACCGGAGCAACCGAACTGTGAACATCGGCGGACTGGTGACTAGGTGCATAGAATACGAAATCGCCGAAGAGGTCCATAAGTTGACCCCTTAGTGCGTATTTGTTGCTTTTATCAGGCCACGGGGTGTACATAAACTCCAGGGCATCCGCAATAAGGTTTGCGTTTTTTTCCCTGCGCGAGAGACAAGAAAGCAGAGAAGAGAATTTCTGATTGAGATACCTAGGATGAAACTTGGAGCGACGTATTGAATACTAAGCAAAACTAGGAGTGTAGTATGTTTTCGTATTAGTCAAATGAAGGATTCCCATTTCTCTAAGCTGAGGGCATAAATAATGTAGGGACTGGATACAAGTCTATCCCCAGTTTCGTTCCCAGGTCTCCTGTATGTACCAATTCGAAATGAATGTAAGATATCTAAGGAAAGAGCCCCTCAAGGGGAGGGAACAGAGCAGGAGACCATACGACGAATAGATATAGCTCATTATGGTTATTGGAGGCACTTTCGGACCCCACTGGAGGGATAACGCTTAACGAGAACGCGAGTAACACACGCAGGAGAGCAGAACCGCGAGGATGACTTCTCGTGACTTCTCACTTACATGTTCTGGTCTAAATGAAAAAACCAACTTATTTTACCGAGTAAATCATCGAAATCTTGGTTAACCGCAAATTTTTCTATTGAATCTACCAGCTGATTATTCCCAAACGCTTAATAACAAAATTCTCTTTTTCTTACCTACTGGTCTGACTATGCGCAAATTGTGTTATGTGTCCTTTGAAGAAAGACTGACTCGATCCGTTGACTAAATTTCTAAAGGTTGTTCCACCCTCCTCACTGTTAAAAGTAATCATAAATTTGGCTTTCTCAAACTTTCCTTTGTTTCGAAGATTCCGGGGGGTGTCAAGAAGAAAGTATTTGTCCACAACTGGTGCCCAACGTAGGTATCCGGTAAAAATATAGGTTATTGAGTCGGATGCGTCTTGTATCTCCTTCGCTTCTTTCTGGCGAATACAGGCCATCATTTCGCTGTGGTCGCTCGTTGGACAGTCCAGGTATCCAGCAAGCTCATTGGCAAAGCGGAGACCAAAGGAAGTCGGCTGGATTGCAAAAGGACTCAAATCCACCCCGCTCTCTGCAATGGCTTGTTGGAAGAGGCCCTCAGACATTGGAGACAGTAGATGGAGGCTCACACTTGTTCCACCAGCGCTTAATCCAAAGATGGTCACCTTGCCGGGATCCCCGCCAAAATTTTCAACGTTCTCTTTAACCCACTGAAGTGCCGCGACTTGATCCAGCATTCCAAAATTACCAGGAGATGCAGAATCCCCTGTAGTCAGGAAGCCAAATGGCCCGAGACGATACTGAGTGATGACTACCACCACCCCATGTAAAGCCAAAATATCCCCGGGAAATGTGACTGTAGCTCCAAACTCATACGATCCGCCGTGAATGTAAAACATCACGGGTAGTTTCGATTTGATATCTGGGGTGTAGATGTCGAGAAACAAGCAGTCCTCGCTGTACGTGAAATTGTGGACAAACTTTTTGAACCGAACTTCATAGGCCTTGCCTTGCCAGCAAACGTTTCCGTGTCGTTTAGCTGAACGAACTTTAGGTTTCCATTTAAGAGGCGGTTCTGGTGGCTTAAACCTAAGCTGTGAAGTCGGTGGAGCAGCGAATGGAACGCCAAGGAACTTGTTGACGTGCTTGTACGCGAAAGAAAAGTTGGCGTACGAAGTTACAAAACCTTCGAGATCTCCATTCTTTGTTGACACTGTTACAGAAGCGATTGAGGGCAACCAGACACAGAACACCGTCAATCTTATGAGCATTCTGGCCCTCAGAATGTTCAAGGTTAATGAGTTAATTTTGTTTTGTCGCGAAGTACACCATTGCGTGATAAATTTTCCTCTCAAATTTCCTAATAAGACTTATTTGTCATGTCATTGTGGAACGTCACGTCATTGAGGGCTCTCATGTAATCCGTGATGGTAAACCCAATGATTCTATCTACATATCATCCAGACTGATTTGTTTCGTCGCAAATGCCGAAGGATGCTCATATTATCTGATTTCTATTTTTAAAACCTTTATTTCCTTCCCATCTACGTAATACTAGAACGTGATTGCAAAGGTCATTAATAATAACATAGCTTTATACGTCATAGATTGATCATGTGGTTCATGATGGGTAAACAACAGTGGCAGCCGTATTAAATACATAAAATTATCCACAAGGGAAGTGGGTTTCTGCTGTCCGTCATTGTTTTTATGGTAAGCGAGAAGTTAACTAAATAAGAAACGTTGTTTCGTTTTCGGCATGGTAATTGTAGGGGTGTTGTGGCTTCAACCTCACACTGACCTGTTTTTATCCGTGAATCTCCTTAAAACATGTAACGAGCCTGTTGTCAACATGCTCCTCTCGATAATCGATCATCATTAGGTTCCCTTGTTCTCTACAGACTACGGGTTCTGCTAGTACCCTTACGAGAACGTCACGCAACGCTTCCGAAACTTCTTTTGTATTAGAATTGCGTGACATCCCAAGAAAGGTAAGACATGACTTTCATTGAAAATGAGTATGATACTGCTACCTAAAGGGAGAGGTCCTCTGCTTTCAAAGGGCAATTGCAACGCAGGTAACATCTTCCCATAACTGAGAAAGCTTTAATTCCTTTGGAAACATAATTGCGCTGCACATGCGTATAGGATAAACGGATGACATTTTGTTCCACTCCAACCGGCAAAAAACAGGTCAGATATCATTCTAATGCTAATTTTATCCAGAAAACAAATAATTCCCTTTCCCCCGCCCTTTCCCGTAATAAGAGGGAAATATTGAGGATACTGTTTATGGGTGCACACTTCCATTTAAAATGTTCAGCTTGTTAGCATCACATTGTTCGAAGAGAAATGACGTGTTGTACGGAATTTTTCGAAAAGTATTTGTATCATGGCCCTCTAAAATGCCATAAACATCACATCAGAAAGGTTAATCCAGAAGCAACCACCACTTATTGTAACAGACCTTTCTTAAAACAGCCATTCTATCAGAAATTGCTACTCGGCTAAAAAAGATTTACTTTCGCGAGCCGAAAGTCTTCCTCAGTGCAGCACCATCGAAAAAACCGCGAATGCAATAAGAACAAACTTTGCCAGAGCAGAGGCACAGCCAGCATCACTAATTACCACTGTCTCTTTTTAAACTTGACTTCCATCAGCTTGGGATAATAATCATTCCAGAACGACATTCGGCGAGGAGCAAACGAAGCTTTCATCTCGGATTTTTTGTCCATCCGGAGATAAGCCCTCTGACTGGAGTTGTACCTCTCGAACGTAACATCGCTGACTGGCTGGGGTGTTGGATTGCCGAGCTTGGCAAAGTTTGTGTACATTTCCATTATAAACAAACTGATGTCTTTGTCACACTGGTCCGGAAACAAATTTGCAAAACGAGGCATCAACGGGATTCCAAAATCGTAGCCAACGTTATCGCCGTGTTGTACCCCGTACCACGCCTTGTGAAGGGGGCGTACTCTTTGCTGATAATCGAACATGTACATATAGACGTCGGCATACTTGCTTTGAATATCGGCGACTGCGTGACACGGGGCATATGCCAAAGAGGTCAATAAGCTGAGTTCTCAGCGCGTATTTATCGCTGCTGTCGGGCCATGGGGTATACATAAACTGCAACGCATCTATTATGAGGTCACCTTTCTGCTTTCTTAAAGGAAAGAAAGAGAACAATCGTTTTAATTTCAGTGTTTGTAAATGCTTTCCTCGCTTTCGCCGCATTTACCCAGACTAGGTTTCATTGACATGTGTCTGGACTTTCTGAGATGTTTTTTCATGTACTTTGTTAACAAGTAATAACATATTTTATCTTGTAATTTGGTACAATAAGCACTTCAAAGACTTCAAATTGCACCTGCCCTCGGGCTTGTGTAATTTTTTTTGAAAATTTATTCGTGTTTATTGACACCAAATTGAACTCCAAATCATGCTATTTCCTATACGTATTTGACAGATACTCCTTTAGTGCGCTTTGAATTTGAGATGATAGCGTTGCGCCGAGTTGGCTGTAGCCAAACTCGTATCTAACGAGCGCGAATGGAATCATTGTTTTTAATTGTCAAATTTCATTTACTCCTGAAAGTTTGGTCATTCATTTTATTGGTGCGTGTCATTGTAACGTCACCTGCGTTAGGAAAATTCCTTCCTCTCGAGGTTCTAAATTTAAAAAATGTCAAAAAACTCTTTCAATTTTTAAACAGAAATATTTTCTAGGAAGGAATTTTTTTGGTGTATTTCCAATTGTACTTTTGCGCTTATTCCCTTTGGAATGTTATGTGTCGGTTATAACGTCATCTATGCTAGAAAACTTTTCTATAAGAGACGCGACTTAGTTCAAAAACTCCTTTCCTCATTAGCACTTTTTACAATATGGAATTTTTCCAGCAAGACTCCGAGTTCTCGTGAAGAGTAAACAATTTTAGTATAACAGATAACTTAATTTACCCCATATTTCGAGAGTCCACAAAATTTGTTAGAAATTCCATAAAGAAAGAGGGACTCACTCCGTTGTCTACACTTTGTGCCATCCCATAGGAAAAGTTTGCCATAATACCCAATGTAGCTCCAAATTCCTCACCGTTAAAAATGTTAATTGGCTTGACTTTCTTAAATTCTCCTATGTTTCGCAGATTCCGCTGGGGTGTCAAGGAGAGAGTTTTTATCCACAACAGGTGCCCAGCCCAAGTATCCTGTGTAAAGCGTCCTCTATCTCCTTCGTTTCTTTCTGACGAATGCAGGCCATTATTTTGCTGTGGTCGCTCTTTGGACGGTTCAGGTTTTCAGCAAGCTCACTGGCAAAACGGAGACCGGCTGAAGTCGGCTGAATTGCAACGGGACTCAAATCCACCCCGCTCTCTCCAATGACTTGATGGAAGAGGCCTTTAGACAGTGGAGACAATAAATGGAGGCTAACACTTGTTCCACCGGCGCCTAATCCAAAGATGGTCACCTTGCCGGGATCCCCTTCAAAATTGTTTTTGTTTCCTTTAACCCACTTGAGTGCCGCCACTTGATCTAACATTCCATAATTCCCAGGGGCAGCGGAATCCCCGATCGTTAAGAAGCCGAACGCACCAAGACGGTATTGAATAACAACAACTACCACACCCTGAAGAGCCAAGTAATCGCCGCGATGCGAGATTGCAGTTCCATACTCATAAGCTCTTTGCTCTTTTTACAAAAGTAACACTGCTAGCATACACAGTATATTTTTTTAGAGTCGTATTTCAGAACTGTGTGTAGTAATCTAACCTATTGCCCCTCTCGTTTTTCGTAATATGATGATATTGGTTTCAATTTCAAAATTAGTTCGTTGATATCGATTTAGCATCTCGCTTGGACTTCTATTGTCATTAGTCATGATCCTCGAAAATTAAAAACGGTTAATCATTAACTTCTCTCGCCAGAAAATCTATTTTATTTATGTATTTCCTTGCTTACTTTTGCATATCATGCAAAAAATTTTGACACGGCTCCTACGCACGTCAAAGACTATGACAGTCTCATTTCATTCATGGAAATTGCGATAAGTGTCATTTGATCCGCCTAAAGCGGCCTTATGGGAGAAAGGCCGTCTTACGCAAACAAACACGTTGTGAAAAGCCAGATATGCGCAGTAAGAAAATATAAGATATCAGGAAAAGCCCTCATTAAAACATCCATCATCTTAGATCTATAGAATTTTGCAGTGCTTGTAAAACGAAATTTCCCTATGCTTCGTTTCCTTCTGGATGAGGCCTTTCCAGACATCTAGATAAACAAAAAAAGCCATAACTTGACGTCATAGATATTTCAAGCAACTTCAAGTTGTTTCATGTCTATTTCAAGCTGTTGCAACATTACCACGCTATCAGGTGACACGAATACACAGTGGATTAGCGAGTCAAGCCAGCTTCAAACGTGTGAAGAGAATTTGAGTGAAACCAAAGGAAACGTTCCCACTCAAACTAAGGCACAATGATTTCGACAAAACTTTTACCACGTTTATCAATTTTCTGCGTCTTTCTGCCTTTAGTCACGTCGGTGAGGGTGTCCACAAGCTATGGTGACGTCGAAGGTCTCGAGGAATCGTATCCGAATTCTTCTTTCACTTACAAGTCAGTCAGCAAATTCCTCGGGATTCCATTCGCAGCTCCACCAGTTGGCGACCTCAGAATGAAAGCACCAAAAGAGCCAGCTTCTTGGAAACCAAATGTACGCCAAGCTAAACAGCACGGAAATATTTGCGTGCAAAAGAAGACCTTCGAATATCTTTTGCGGTTCTTTACTCAAAATTTTACCTACAGCGAAGATTGCCTATATCTCGATGTCTACAGCCCGAACGTGAGCCAGCATCTACCCGTAATGGTTTACATTCATGGAGGAGGCTATGAGTATGGAAGTTCAGTCACATACCCTGGCGATTACTTGGCTCTCCAAGGCGTAGTAGTTGTTGTTATTCAATACCGTCTTGGTACGTTTGGCTTCCTGACGACCGGGGATTCCGCTGCCCCTGGGAATTATGGAATGTTAGATCAAGTGGCGGCGCTCAAGTGGGTCAAAGATAACATAAAAAATTTTGGAGGGGATCCCGGTAAGGTGACCATCTTTGGATTAAGCGCTGGTGGATCAAGTGTTAGCCTCCATTTATTGTCTCCACTGTCTGAAGGCCTCTTCCATCAAGTCATTGCAGAGAGCGGAGTGGATTTGAGTCCCTTTGCAATTCAGCCGACTTCCTTCGGTCTCCGCTATACTAATGCGCTTGCTGGAAACCTGAGCTGCCCAACGGGCGACCACAGCGAAATGATGGCCTGCATTCGTCAGAAAGAGACAAAGAAGATACAAGACGCTTCCGAAAAAATAACCTTAAGTTCTGTTGAATACCTGGACTGGGCACCAGTTGTGGATAAAAACTTTCTTCTTGACACCCCCCGGAATCTGCGTAACAAAGGAGAGTTTAAGAGAGCTAATTTAATGATCGTCTTTGCCAGTCAGGAGGGCGGATATTTTCTGGGTATGATGACAAACATGTCCTTTGGGATGGCACAAAGTGTAGACAACGGAGTCAGTCCCTCTTTCTTCAAGGAATTTCTAACAAAATATGCGCACGCTCAGAATATTGGGTAAGTTAAGTTATCTGTTATAACTGCTTTTTGTCACAAGAACTTGTAAAGTGCAAATATGAACAAATATGACAACTTTCTTCTTGAAGTTTTTGAACGAAAACATGTTATGTGTAAAACTTTTGAACGAAGTTTTTCTAGCTTAGATGAGGTTACAATTTCACACACAGAATGTTATGGGAAAAGAGAGCAAATGTGCAAATGAAAAACTATGACAAATTTCTTCTGGAAAAATCTTTCTGTCACAAAATTGACATCTCATTAGTTTTTGACATTGTAAACGTAAAACTTCGATAGAAGGAATTTCCCCTACGCGGATGACGTTACAACGACACGCACCTTTGAAACTTGAAAGGGTTTTTACAACTTGGTAATTCTACTCTATCAGGGTTTCCTCTTCAAGCGTCTTTTGACCTCAGTCCTTAATTAACAAAAGAGCTCTGAAAAATATCCGCATAGGGCAATATATGTGTCAATGATAACAAGCCAGGGTAAACGCGACTCAAGCAAGGAAAAGCTTTTACTAACTCTGAAATTAAAATGATTATTCTCTTTCTTTTCTTTAAGAGAGCAGAAAGGTGACCTCATAAGGGATGCATTGCAGTTTATGTATACCCCATGGCCTGACAGCAGCGATAGATACGCGCTGAGAACCCAGCTCGTTGATCTCATCGGTGATCAGCTTTTCTACGCCCCAAGTCACGCAGTCGCCGATATCCACAGCAAGTATGCCGATGTTTACATGTCCATGTTCGATTATCAGCAAAAAGTACGACTCCGTCACAAGGCGTGGTACGGAGTACAACACGGCGATAATGTTTTTTTTGAATTTGGAGGCCCGTTCATGCCTCGTTTTGCAATTTTGTCTCCGGACCAGTCGGACAAAGACGTCAGTTCGTTTATCATGGAAATATACACAAACTTTGCCAAGTTCGGCAATCCAACACCCCAGCCAGTCAGCGGTGTTACGTTCGAGAGGTACAACTCCAGTCAGAGGGCTTATCTCCGGGTGGATAACAAATCCGAGATGAAGGCCTCGTTTGCTCCTCGCCGAATGTCGTTCTGGAATGATTATCTTCCCAAGCTGATGGAAGTCAAGTTTGAAAAAGAGACAGTGGTAGTGAGTGATGCTGGCTGTGCCTCTGCCATGGCAAAGTTTGTTTTCATTACATTCACTTTTTCATGGATGGCGCTTTATTGAGGAAGACTTTATAAGGCGCACGAGAGCAAATCTTTGCAAAGGTTCCTTCTTTAAAGACTGCGAGCGAAATGTAGAATTCATCAGGTGGAAGGATAATCTATGAAGCATGAAAAACAAAGTTTGAAGATGGAAATATTGAAAATTTCAAATTAATTTAATCCAAACTGATCCTCTATATTGCCCATATTTCAAGACGCAACTACGAATACTTTTGTACTTTGTCGTAGATAAAGAAGAATTTTATCGGCTAATGGAAAATTGAATATTGATCAGACTGGTTGAAGTTGCTATTAATTTTGCCACATAAAGTATGTTTGTTTTATTGTCTAATTTCAATTTCTTATTGAGTGGCTGTATTTAAGAAAGTTCTGTGATTTTCTCACTGAGAAACGCAAACGCGTTGTATTACCTCAAGGAGTTACTATGGATGAATTTTGCCTCTGAATAAACCCACCTGATGTGATTTTTATGGCATTTTGGAAGACCATACATTGTCCGAAAGTTTCTGTACAACCGACTCGATTTTGTCTTCCAACAATCTCTACTGAACAGAATTTTCTTACAAAATCACGTAATGTGCGACCCCATGCGGGCACCTGAACTAAAACCGAGCTTAACGGCCCTTAATCAGCCCAAGAAATTCACACGATGCAAGGGAACAATCACCTAGCGAGATGAATTTTTTCAAAACCAGTTCAGATTCGTTCTGATCGAGAGCGCGTTTATAAAATGCCTACATTTCGACCATTGCACAATGTGAACATATTTACATATTTTGCGAGCTTGTGTTTCCTTTGTTTTGGCTCATTTATTCCTGCAACGATTACTATACTTTCGGGCGCAAATCCACACGAGTTGCTTGGAGTTGAAAAGCAAAAGATATCCAGTTTGAGTTGCCAATCAGAGCGCACCTTCTACGCTATCTATTATTGATTGTGTACCTCATATCGACCTCAGCTATATTTAGCCAGAAATAGTAAATGACGTAAGTTCTCCTGTGTCACGTGATCGTTAGAGAGCCCACAATGCTGGTGGTCTTTTTGGATGTAAATCGATCACGGATTGTAATCGGGCGACGAAAGAAGGCCGTGAACATTTTCCAGATGTACAGTCCTAAATACTCCAAAGCACAAAGCTGTGCTTATTTCTGCTTCAAAAATGCCCTGGTGGCACTTAACACGCTTTATATTGTAAGTATCTTGGAAAACCTTTCAACTTAAAGTCAGAGTTTTAACGAATCTCGCGAGCTATTGAATGGGGAAATTGAGTCTTCGCAGTCTGTGTTACGTGGCATTTGGTGGTTATTTAAAGCTTTCTATCAGATATTCTACGGAAATCTCCTGCGGTTCTTATCCGTAAATGTTTCTAAATCTGATTAGGGACTTAATGAGTAAAAGGTACCTCTCCTACGAAAAAGAAAATCTCTAGGCAATAAAACCCCGTTGTTCCTTTGCTGCAAAAGGCTAGCTGTTTATATAGCGCATCATGCATGTATTCAATAGTTTTTTCTGAACGAAAAACCAATAAGAGCTCTTTAATTTGACTATCACCTTATGTTTCAGGAAATGTAAGCTTAATTATAATTAACGGGCGAATTTTTTTTGTATTTATTTAATTTTCCAAGATCTCGACATAGAGTCTTCCAGTTAAAAATATTGGAAAGCATTGTTTAGACGAGGTTAATAAGTCGATTATAAGGAAGTAAAGGTCGTGTGTCCTCGGAAGTTCATATTATTTCTAGGGCTTCTTCTTAGATTATTTTAAAACCCATTTACTAAATGTTAGGAGATTTTAACGAGGCTTCACCTATACTAATCAACAAGGAAAGGAAATGAACAAATGAAGGTCCTAATGACTATGCTATGCAGATAAGCTGACTTGTTTCGCATTTCATTTAACAGAGCTGTCCGTAATTCAAATCATTGCAAATTTTAATTTTGTTGTATTAAATTTGCCATAAAGTTAGATGTATGACATTGTCCTCTCAAAATGACATGGAATGATATTGTTTGCAATGAGTATTATTACAAACTTCAAAGGGATTTTGAATGTTCACTTGTCCTCTTGGTATTTAGTATTTGGCGTGAGACTTTGTATGATACAAATTTTTTTACTTTTAAAGGTTGAATAACACAGCAATTTAAATCTAATTTTTATTTCAATTGATGATAAGAATATGTCAATGATAGGGGCACCATTGTTGTAAAGAACTTGTTGTGGGTTGGGTAGATTATGTGTTCCCTCATGTATGAACAGTTATTGGTATGCTGCTTTTTGTGTTTAAGGTAATCTTCGATACTGAAAGAAAAAAAAGGATAAAGAAAATTTGCTTAGAGTTTTTCTTGAGAGATACTGGAAACATGATATCTTGCTCACGGAAACTATTTATCGGAAGCCCCCAAGGAAGAGGTACCTAAAAGTATACACATGGTAAACAGTATTTTCAAAACTGTGCTCTTAGAATAATCGTGTTGTTAGCTGCTCAAAGGCTATGGACCCAGAAATACAAGGTGCTCATCTCTTAAAAACCTTCATAAAAGCAAAGTGATTCCTGGTACTGTAAGACAAAAAGCAAAAGAGCACAGCCCTGAACTACCTGATTTGATTGCTTGTATAAAGTCTTTTTTTCCTTTGCAGTTCATAGCCTTGGTAATGATATGTGTAGCTGTTTATGCCAAAGCATCATCTAAAATAACCAGTCTCCCGATTCTTGGTGGTGTAGTTGCCTGTGGCGTTTTCCTTCTTCTCATTGCCATCATGGGTGTTGCTGGTGCAGTGCGTCACAGCCAAGTGATTCTGTTCTTTGTATCCTTTTCATGATTGTGAACTGCAGTTAAAAGCAGTTGCAGAAAGTAAAGTTTGCAGAACAGTTCTGCCCAGTGCCTCCCCAACAGTGGTTTGCTCCAATGCTACCATTGTAAAGCTGTGTATTAGGAGCACAGTCTGACTTATAAATGATAAAGTGTAATGAAAGCAATTTGGAGATCATATTGGCATGATGGTTAGTGTGCTGGATTCTGGGTTTGAGAGGCCTGGATTTGAAAGCTGGCTGGGTCAAAGTGTTATGTTCGGGAGAAATCTTTTAAATTTACAGTACCTTTCTCCACCCAGGAGTACAAATTGACAAACAAAAATCACCAGGGAAGCCTGGTGAAATCCTGGGGGCAAACCTTGCAATGGATTACCATCCCATCCAGGGGGGAGAAGTAGCACTTCTGGTTACTTCATGCTAAGGAAACTGGGGATGAGTTCTTGCTGGGTGGACCACTTAGCACAAGTACAGATGTTACTTCACTGAGTTGTTCTTGTTGCCTATTGTTTTGGAACTGGCCTAGGGTTAAGAATAATGACGATGATGATGACGATTCTTGTTACTTAGTGTTCTGGAAAGTACATGATGTTCTTATCTGTTTGTTTCAGCCTTAACTTATTGAACAGTAGTCGATTATCATGCTACTTCTGTTTATCATTCAAATGTCAGTATCTCTTGGTGCAATAGCAGTTTCACATGAGCAGCAGTCTAATCTAATGGAGGCAGGATGGGGAAAGATGTCACCCACTTTAAAGACCAAAATCCAAAAAATCAAAGACTGTTGTGGATTTAAAAATAAAAATATGACGTCAGGTGAAATGGGACATCCGAAGTGTACTGCGGTAAGTTTTTGTGGTGTACGACCCATTCACATGCTGGGGTTGTAGTTCTTGAAATCGGAGACTTTCAGGAGGTAATGACCCCCCCTATTTGTGACACCAATAATTTTTGTGGCCATTGCCACCCTCCAATTATTGCTTGTTAGTATTAATGACGAGAAAATTTTTTTTGTTAAAGTTTGGATTCTCTCTAATGTATTCACATTTGTGATACATCAGCCTTGTAATGTTGTCACAAGATAGTGCTTGTACCTAGGCTGCTGTTAACCCAATAATGCGCACCAAGCGTTTCTCCCAGACCTATTTACTTGCCATGTGTAGACAATGGGTCTGTGTATTATTCTTGTAAATAAAATGCTCTGTAAATGTAATTTATAATTTTAGCCAGTATTGTTAATAATCATACAATTCAGCCTTATTAAGCTGGCATGTGATTTTTAATAAAGCTCTCTATCTATAAAGTCACAACAAGAACTGTAAGCTGCCAGAGTTATTGTAAGTCTAGGAAAAGATTATGCTCTAAAACAGTACAGTCAAACCTCTGTTATCCGCACTTGTGAGAACTGGGCTGAATAGTCTAGATAATCCAGGGTTCAGATAATCAAATTCACTGTGGATTACTGCTAAAATTTGCTAAAGAATTTACAAAAACAACATTTTATGACCCAAAATGCTGACATAAATCAGTTTGTCTCAAGCTGCTACTGCGTTTGTGCATCACTAATTCTGTCATTCTATGAAACTGTATGAAAGAAATAAGGTCAAAATTAATTATTTCATCATCTGATTTGTTTGATGGAAAACGTTGATGGTAAAGAAAGGTTGTGAGCATTGTTGATTAATTGTAAAAGAATCACAAATAATACTATTAACTCAAATTCTTGTGTTTTTTTTTATGCCTTGTGAAAGTGTTGTTACCTGATCTGGTCTGGGAATTTTAACTTAATTCCTCATGCATATATAACCACTAACACTAGTTTCATTTGAGTATTCATGACCATTTCTTTATTCATTGTGTTTTAGCTACCATGCTGTTCTGAGACTACTAACGATGATACATGCCCCAAATGTGAAACATGCTATGACAAGTTAAAAGATGTGGTAAATCATCTTCTGAAAGTGGCTGGAGGAATTGGTCTGTTCTTCAGTTTTACCTTGGTAAGTACAGAACTTGCATCAATTTACACACCAATTTTTTTTTTTTGTCATATAGTGAGATATCTTCTTTGTAACCTGGTTGAGCAAGATACTAACACTTGCATTTTAAAGTTGGACTAATCTTATGCCTAACCCTTTAACTCCCAGATATTATTAACATGTAACTTGATATATATATCAAGTAAAAGGGTAACGAGAATACTCAAACTTATCAGATAGAAGTTGTTACCTTGATCCAACAGCAAATTGTCATTGCTGTTTTACAAGGAATTAAACATGCAGCAGCCAGAGGGAAGAATTAACAAGCAAATCTTGGGAGTTAAATGGTTAAAGGAACTAATTATTACTCTAACTAATTATTTTGATAGTTCTGGTCTGCTTCCTTTTAAACTGGATTCACGCTCATTAACCACTTGATTAGGACATCTGATTGTCAGTAATGAATAGTAAAGTATCTCTCTCTATAAAATCTTCTTAACTTCCTCTCATATTTCTATCTTTCACAGCTGTTTGGTGTGTATATGGCGTGCCGCTACAGGAATCAGAAGGACCCTCGTGCTAATCCTGGGGCTTTCTTATAGGTCCCTGGGTGCTGAGCTAAATTCTTAGACCTGTGCTAACCTTTCTTTAACCTCTAAATAGATCTCTTCACCATGCTAATTTACCCATAATTGAAAATATGTAAAATAAGATTGGAGAGACATGATTGTTTGTAATATATTATACAGGTTAGATTGCATGTGTTCCTTTGCTTTTTATTATCATTATTTTCCAGTATCACTGTGTCAGTATCATGTGGAGTTAGTCTGATTCAATACCATGATTACATAGCTGCCATTTTTATTTATTAGAAGCAACAATAGCAGTTGACTAAGCTTTTAAATGTTTCAAGACTAACTTTTAATCAGTGACATGGCAAAGTCTACTGGTATGACAGATTCTAGTGAGGGGCAGGGTGGGTGGGTTAGTTAGTTAGTTTGGTATAAGATTTTCCCCCTCCCTGCCCTAGGCATATCCTTCTGTCCATGCGGAGTGACTTTTTTCTATAATATCCACAGTAGCTAGTGTTAAGTAATCTATCAATGAGTTGTTTGCTGCAAGTCTTTGAGATTATTGTATGGCGAGGTAGTCTTAAGGTAAATCCCAGAATTCTGACTCACTCTTACTTTGTCTTTATTTTGCTCTATGGACCAGGTCTTTATTTTGTTTTATGGACCATTTCCATGGAAATAATCATAAGCTCTGTATTTTTGGTTGCAAAACCTGCAAATTCAGAATACAAGTTTGGTCCTGGTGCCATATGATAAACCACTTACTAACCTTGCTTTATAGAGCCATACTGCAGAATTTTTAGGCCTCAGTCCATTTTTAAATTCTAGGGAGAAATCTTTTGAAGTTAGATTGACTGACAGTTCAATTTTCTCATATTGTGTATTGTATGAAGGTCTATGGCCCATTGATATCATTACTCATTTTTTTTTGGAAGAAAAACAGATGCCTTTCTTATGTTGCAGTATTTTAGGGTTAGAGTAGTTGCCTAACTGCTTCTACTTCTCCAGTTAAAATGGAGGTATTTTGAGAATATTTCTAGACTAGAAAATCTCTCTTTGAAAGCTATATTTAATAGCAGTATTTAATTATTTCAGGAGTGTTTATTGATGAATTATTTAAGGTTAATTTTTTTTGTTATGTTAAGTGTAGAATATATCCTGAAAATAAACATTCGGTATCTTTGTGCTTTTATGCAGTCTTCAGTAACATTCCCCAGAACCCATAATTCCTAGAAGAGGATGATATACCAGAAAACCAGAAAGTTTCTGGCCTTTCATATCTCTGATAGTTTTTGTAAGGTTACTTTTTCACTCGTGTTTTCTAGGTTCCAAAATAAAAATTTGAAAATTACCTCGCGTAGTTAGAACTTGAATGAGATACCTTTACTTTACAAGTGTCAGCACCCTTCAGTCTGTAGGTAACCAGAGGAATGTCACGCCTTCTCCATTAAGCCGCTACTGCGCGTTTTATGTTTTTACGGATTTTTTTCACTCTAATCTCTTGAAGAACATGGAGATGCTCATGGAAATACTCCTCTTCCGACAAATTTTTATCGGAAAGAAAGCAAATTCTCTGAAAAAAACTTGTTAAATGCGACCCACGCCATACCAAGATTGTGTGACGGGCCAATTGCTATTGTTGCTGGTAACGTATATTTAACCAATTAGAAAGCGTGCAGATGATTGGTGCTAATGGTTTGCAAGAGTCGTATCGGCTTTTTGGCGTCTTGTAGGAGCAAATTATTTCGGTTACGGTTGATGAAAATTTGAAGGAGCGACTTTTCCGGGATTTTTTTTATCAATAAGCGAAACTTTGAAAAGAGAGAAAACCCCGAACTGTATGAAATCTTAGAAGGTAATATCTTACTTCCGAAGAGGACTTATAAGATTACATAGGCAAACGAAACTCTTATTCATAACACTGCAAACCTGCATTTGAAACGCATGCCTCTATTCAAATCAAAATTTTGTGCTACTCGCCCTTCAACTGTTGGCTCTTAATTTTTCCTTTAAGTATCACCATAGGTTCAAATATGAAGGTCATGAGAATTACGGAAATGATCACCAAGTAAAGCTCTTTATGATTAAACCAATTCTTGTCAGCACCTTAAGAAATGTGTTAATAACAGTGTGGAGAATATGTATACTGATGTTAAGGTGTGAAGATTTAAGACCATGCACATAACCAGTGGTTAAATATTGAAATACTCGTGCTTATCAGTCAGTTATTTATATTTTATTTCAGATTCTGGGAGTGTGTCTTGCCAGACGAGTGCGAAACCGCGGACCGCAGAAACTCTATTTTGACTAAGGGACGTGAAGTTTGCTGTTTGGTCATCTTGGAAAATTCTCTTTTTCAGTAGCCTGAGTACTAGGCTTCCTAAAGGGGGTGGGGATGGGGCGAGAGAAAAACCCACCGCTCTAGCTCGGCCTTAGTCCCTCTTCCTTTGGAAGGCTCGTTATTCAGGCTACTGCTTTAAACCGAAAAAATAGACTTTGATAAAAATTGTGGGCTTAATTGCCTGATACTGGTATAGGTAATAGTAACTAACATTGGCTTTGTTTGGACTGTAGATCAATTAATGATTAGAATTTAAAGGGGAAGGGTTTCAAACCGGTTCTCTAGCGTTGTAAAATAATAGCTCAGATCGAAGAGGTGGTTATAGGAAGCAAAAAAATTAGGGTTCTTCTCGTGTTGAACTCAGCACGGACCATTTAGTATCGGGATAGTTGAGCAAAATTAAATAAAAAGACCAAGTTTTAAAAACTATGTAGTTAGCTACCCACGTGAAATCCTGAACACATGCAGAAAAGTTGTCACGGATTCGACATTGCTTTTTTAGTAATTTTTCGCACCAATTATTGGTTTAAACAACTTGCGCCATAACCACATACTGGATATTTAAGATTGATAGAGAAAATTATATTTATTAGTTTGTAAGATTTTTAATTTTATTTAAGAATTTATACTAAGGTTGGGGCAATTTATAAAAATTTGGTCTTGATGCTATTTCATAGCTATTTGTAAAGATTGGCATTCAAATAAATGAATATTGTGAGGTATCATTGCATTTCTAATCATTGTTTTAGATCCTTTTTCTTTTCCTTTGAACATAAATTCATATGGAGATCGAGTCTAAGCAGTGCGTGATCCTTGTTCCTCCTTGCGTTACGCGTGACACCAGCTTAGCCTCTACTGACGCGTCACAAAATCAGCTTTTCTACTATGGAACTCACCATCAATATTTGCATGACATCACTAATGCTGATCATGATGACCAAAAAAATAGGATGGTATCAGGAGGGGGGCGGGGGAGTGGAGGAAGAGTGGTCTGGAGTGGTTACGCAAAATTGTCGAAAATTTGTTACTGCCAACAAATAAATTTCTACGTAAAGCATCTAATTGGAACGAGAACAGTCCTTCAACAACGAGATTTTTTCGCGTCCTACGCCTTAGCGGCATCATTTCCTCTCCTTGTCCCCTATCCCTTCCGTTTCTCACTCTCCCGGAAGTTTTTGACATTACTAGAAACCAAAATCTCCAAATAAGGACAAGTCCCTTGGGACTTCTGTTAAATATTTCCAGAACGGCGTGACAGAATCTCAGATCTAAGCTAACTGAAAATGGTGAGGGAAAAATATTGTATAGAATATTGCATTTTAGCCCTCTGCTCGCGGATAATCATACTTAAAACCTATTTTTCTTTCGCAGGCAACTCTAACGGAAGATCAAATCTCTGGTATCTATCACATTGCCCATTATGGTTCAAGATTCTTATATTAACTTATTCTACGATGCTCGAAACATCGTTAAAATGATACAGCTGTTTTAGTTTTAAATTTTTTCTTCACTTGTTGTTTCAACCTGTACCTTTTTTGTTTTTCGTAGAGCATAAGGAGGCGTTTATGCTTTTCGATCGCCGAGGAGATGGCAAAATCGATTCGGCACAATTGGGTGAAGTACTCCGTTCTCTTGGACTCAACCCAACACAAGCTGAGGTCCACAAGGCGTTAAACGAGGTCGATCCTTCTGGTAAGCAATCAGCCTGTCTAATAATATTAGAGAATCTTGTAGCTGTGATGTACCTGTCCAAAAACTACTCAGTTATTTCGTTGGCACGATTTGATCGAAATACGTTTCATGTTGCCTTTTCATTTGCCGCAACTTTGAAATGGCTTGGAATGAAATAAGTTTTAAAAGAGCTTCTTTTAGATAATAAACTTACTTAATTCTTAAGTCTTCTTTTGTTTATACGTACACTTCGTTTTAAATCCTTAGCAAAATTTTGCGACCGATCGAAGAAATCGAAGTTGATGTAGACTTTTGAGGAAATGTTTCGCTTTCCTTGCAGAGTTCTTGCAGTTAACTAGATATTTATCACAATGACTTGACCCTGTTTGATACTAGCTCGCGTGCAGACGAAAATCCGGCTTTCGATATTGTAGAGATTTTCGAATTTTTGCACAATTCAAATGGACGTCATAGTGATAAATTAATTTTTAAGTTTATATTTTTTAACAATCGTGCATAGATGTATTACGTGCTTGTCGCAGCGTGCAAACTTTTTGAGCTAAAAATAAACAACTAGTGGTCTGCAGTATAACTACTACACTTCAACGGCAAACTGTATTTCGTGCTAACAATTCGTTCAGTTGTGTGTTTTTAATGGGGGAATCTTTTGTTATTCTCCTTGGACTTTTTTCGTACCGAAATTTTTACAAAAGAATCACTGAACCTTGGAATAAATGGAATCATTATTTTGGTTTGATTAGCCCTTTTAAGTAAGCGGCGTTCGAAGGGTGAGGCAATTAACACATGTAAATAAACTTTTAGATTGTGTTAATGAAGTGACTTTTTAATGAAAGCTGAAAGCCTTTTATACTTCAAAGGTGCAATAGTGTTTTTATTGCTCATTTAATTGTTAAATTTTCTGTATGCCCCTTTGACGAATGAAATTTGATTGGATACTACAAAGAAATGATAATTTACAAGTGACTGTAGTCAGTGTTCATAGAAGTGATCCCTAAAATGAAATTTTATCCTCCCTAGATGCCTGCTTCTAACCTTTTACTGCTGAGAGTGACTAGTAATTAATTTTTCCTCATAATATCTTCCCTGAATCAAACATTAAGGAAATGAGAATAAAAGAAATGATCACCAACGGAAGAGACTCTTGATTGTTAAACAAATTCTCCTTTTCAGCACCTAAGGATATGTACAGAAAACAGTATAGAGAATAAGCATATTGATGTTAGAGTTTTAACCCTTTAAACTCTCAGAATGACCAGCATCTAGTTTCTCCTTACAATAATACTGCTGAATCATTCATTCAAGATCATGAGAATAAAGGAAACAATCACCAGCTCAAGAGGCTCTTGATTGTTAAATAAATTCTCCTTGTCAACACCTTAGAAAATGTATGGAGAACAGTATGGAGAATATACATACTGATGTTCGGGTGTAAAGGATTAAGGGTAAAGGTTGTCTCCATGAAGTTTTATTGTACCATCTAATGCCAAAGTTTTATGAACAAAAAGTGAACTCTTTTTTAGGTTCTAAACGTATCTCATTCGAGGAATTCTTGCCAATCTTCCACTCCTTTGGTCAAAGGAAGGCCAGTAAAAGTACAAATGAAGGTTTTGTGGATGGCTTGAGAGTCTTTGATAGAGAAGGAAATGGCCAGGTGTCTGCCGCAGAGCTGCGTCATGTGCTGACAGGATTAGGTAATTGTATATTTTATTATCTTTATCTATGAAAGTAAATGATGGTGAGGAAAAGTGAATTAGGAGAGACAAGCACTGAAAAGCCTGCTTTCTTTGCAAATTAACGCCTTAACTCCTAAGAGTGGTAACCAACTAATTTCTCCTTACAATTTCACACCTGAATCAAACATTAAGGTCACACTTGAATAAAGCAGGTGATCAGAAATTTAGCTCTTAGTTGTTAATCCTTTAATCCCAGAGAGTGACTTGCATACAATTTTTCCTTTCAGTATCACTTTTAAATCACACATTAAGGTCATGAGAATGAGGTAAATGATGACCACCTCAAGATTCTTGACTGTAAAACAAATTCTCCTTGTCAGTTCCGCAGGAAATGTATTGAACAGTGTGGAGAATATGCATACTGATGTCTCTTTTTGTTGCAGGTGAAAAAATGACTGAAGAGGAGGTAGACTTACTCCTTAGTGGACTGGAGGACAATCAAGGCCAAATCAATTATGAAGGTGTTTAATTTTTTTTTTTTTCCAGTTTAGTGAGTACTGAATATTGCTTGCCCACTACTAATGAAGCTTTATATCCAAGTTTCTGTGACTATAATTGATGTCATGTTTATGCATGGGTTGTAAATGGGTTGTAAGGGTAACAGTTAGGAGATCCAGGTCTTAATAGTTATGCTCCATGCTAGTTCAAATCCTGCCCTTCCCACCCCCCACCCCTCCTCCCCTCCTTGAATGCCAGCCGTGCAGGCTAAATGTCCTAAGACTGAAGTATAGATACATTGTACTAAAACAATTTTTTTTATTTTCTGGCAGAATTTGTGAAGACAGTCATGTCTGGATGATCACTATCCACCCCATTTTTTACATACAGAGCTCTTTATCTACTGTGATTAAATGAGATAACAATACAGAAGATTAATTTATCATTGTTAGGATGATTTCATATCATGAGGGATATACAACTACAGTGATTTACAAAGTATAATCTATATAAATATTTTCTTATAGATAGTTTTGTAGAAAATAAAATCAAATAGCAGAACTGGGATCTAGTTAATTGTGTGCCCTTTTTTTTCATCGTCAGTGATGGCTGTCAATAACATAACCAAAATCCTGCCAGTTCTTCTAGGAAAACGTTTGCGTTGGAATGTCACGCAAACCCTGTTGCGTTACTTCTTCACCTTAAAACACCTTTAGAATCCTTTAAATGATCGATGAAAATGTTCAAAAATATTTGTTTACTGTGGAATGTTTCTGGCCCAACTTGAGATATGTTTATGTTTTCCTTACAACCTCATCACTGAAAGTTTAAGACGTTTCCTATTTTGCGACTAACATATCTTTTTATTTTGTATATTATTCGTTGCATCCTATTGCTTTCGTTTCTCTGATGTTTTGGCAAACAGATGTTATCTTTCAAGTTAATTGAACGACGCCCCCATTACAAGACTTTGAAATTCAATTAATGTTACCTTTCACAGTGTTCATTGGACATCTGATATCTACAAAGGAATGTATACTAATTTTTCTGTATAAACTGAGTAATATTAAATGTCCTGCATATCTTGACGTGAAAACAAATATCAGGAAAGAGAGAGTAACATTTCGTGGTCAGATGCCTTTCGACAAACCTTGAAAGCTCTCGAATGACGCAAAGTTTCGATTTACGGTTTGCGCTTCGTAAAGAATATACTCTCAATTTTTCAAGTTTTTCACATTTAATCCACATTAATTTAAGCCATTCTTGACTCTTCCCTGTTTCTATGCACTTCGTTATTTCTTCTGTTTTACAATCTTGGTCGAATTTGTTGACAGTTTGGTAAGGAATTGAGGTTTTTTTTTTCATGCGGTTACAATTTACTTATTACTATTACTGCTAGCCTGAGGAAGTTGAAAAAAAATTTTACACAGTAATTTCTCAAAAACTACTCTGAATTAAAAATGCCCTTTTTGTTTACAATTTTTCTTTCTCTGGAAAACTTCCTACCACCCCGACCCATGGTATGATAATAATCACTGACGCGCTCCACGACGTCCACGCCCTGTTAACGCGCTGTCTGTGATTCCTGGATTTCCTAGTCTAAATAGGTGACTTCATTTAGCTTTGGGTCAAACGCTCAAAGTCACTCGGGCGCACCACAACCTCGCTTCAACACTTTCCTCTAACCGCCGAGATGTCCCAACCAACTCAAGAGGAGATGGACGGTTTGTATACAATTCAGAATATCAATAATGTTGTTCACAACAACACTTACAATTGGAAATCTTTCGCAAATATTTTCTTGCAGAGTACAAAGACGCTTTCGCTTTATTTGATAACGAAGGCGACGGCAAGATCGAGTCGGATCAGATCGGTAGGCTGCTTCGTTCTTTGAACCTCAACCCCGATGACGAAGACATTGTGAAGATCGAAAAAGAAGTGGGTGAGTAATGAAGAATTTTTATCGCGCAATTACGATCTGATCTTTGAATTCCTATTAATTGATCGACATTCAGAAGTTATCTTCTTTGGTTCACGTTAAACACCGGTCAGGGGGCTTTTGTTCTGAGAATGATAACAATGCTATCGTTTGGCCTAAGAGTTATTCTATTCATTTGGTAACTTAAACGTTTATGTTCTAGATTTTGCGACCCATAACAAACAAATTTTAAGAATCGTTGAGAAAGGTGCCGCGAATGAGTCAAACAGATGTTGCGTTACGGTTCAACTTCAACTGTAAAATAGACAAGTTATTGTAGGTTAGGCCTCATAAAGCTGATTTATCTCATCTTTCGTCAAGCTGGCTTCCCATGTCGAGCGATGATCTCTTTCTGTTGCGTTTTTTTTCGTCACGCGAGTAAATGAAGAGTAGTTAGTGTTTTTATTTCATGTGTGATAACTAAGATCATTTCACCTCGTACATGCATGATTAGTAAGCGGGTCGAGAAACAATTTGAAAAAAATATGAGCTCTGAAAACAGTCACAGAAGAAAATCGTGTCTAAGTAACAATGCGTAAGGTCCTTTCTTATTACACCCTGTAAGAGTAGTAATCAGCTTGGCGATTCAATCGAAGAAAAGTATTCATTTCACTGTTAAAAAGTCACTTGTTGATTGATTTTGCATCCTTTCACGGTTGTGATCACAAGCGCTTCGAGTAGTTTGGCGTGCGTCTACGAAAAAAAAATCACCAAAATTAATATCCAAGGACCAAGGAAAATAATCAAACGTTTTGGTGAAAGGGACATGTCATCTGGAGTATCATGTTTCATTCGAGGTCCATCATTTTGTCAGTCTTTCACAAAATGGCACAGGAGATTCTTAGTGAAAACAACTTTTTTACATAAACAGCCGCAGGGAAATGCATTGTGCAAATTAACCTGCTCGCATTAGAGCCTGACGGATTGTTTGAGGTGCTGTAATTAACTATTATGTCTTATCTTTTTTGTTGTTGATTTGAGCTAAATCTCGTCCGTAAAACTCGTTAAAAACGCATTTCTTCAATATTATTGCAGTTTACAAACTCGACCTTTTCTCCTTTGTCCGGTACACGCAAACTTTTTGGTTGAAATTGGTTTTAAGATGAGAATGTTTTGAACAGAAGTCCTCATTCCCAAGACCAACTTTTAATTCAGGTCATGCCCTTCGATTATATTATGTGAAAGCTGATACATAATCATCCTACATCGCTATCACGAGTAACACAATCAGGACATCTTTTCACCAGTTTAGGAAAATTCACCCGATTCTGTCCTTCAAGGGCACAAATTTGTTAAAATTTTATTTTATTTTGTTCTTTCTTTTAATGAGCAGTCTTCTTGAGAGTTTTAAAAGTAATTCGTGCAATTATGTACCAAAGGTTATCACTTAATTGAAACACCCACACCATCAATTATTAAGATGACGAGAAACTCAGCCAATATTTGTGATAAACAATGACATTCGTTGCATAAGTCTGTTGCTATAATCCATGACATACAAGCCAGATAAGATAAGATTAAA